ACAGTGCTCTCGGCTTGGAGCAGAAGGACAGTTGATAGGCCTGTGGGGTTTTTGGTTTGGTTTGGTTTGGTTTTTTGAGAATGAAAACATCCTATCATTTTGTGAATTGTGTACGAATATTCAAGTAACCATGAAACATTAGAAGAAAAGAAATCTGGTCACTGTTACGGAGACAGGTATTTTCTGGTGTCAGCTCTCCCATTTTTAACCTGTATTTCCCAGTGCTTGAGAGGGCTGGCATGGTCACATGAGGAGGAAGGAGGAGGAGGGACAGGAGGAGGAACAGGAGGAGGAGGAGGAAGAGGAGAAGGAAGAGGAAGAGGAGGAAAAGGACAAAGAGCACCAAGTTGTGGATTCAGCCCTCAGGAACTCTCTTTTACCATGGCAGGGCAGCTGCATGTCAACACACTAGACACAGAGCTGGCCCCTCACAAAGCTGGGCCCAGATTTTAGGACTGACAAGTTAAAACGCGGTTTTAAGGACCGAGTTATCCAATATAGTCCTTCCAGCCCTTGTCCCTAGCCTTTAATTCCACTTAAAGGGAAACACACTTCATTGTTTCAAAGATTATTACTTTTTTTTTTTAGTAAATTTCTAGTAATGGGGAGATTAATAATGGGCTATTTTTTCTCAGCTTGTGGTTTCTAATTACATCAGTTACAGCTCGGCCCTCCTCTTAACTAGAGTGCAGGCATGAACTGGGAAAGAATGAGCTAATCCTGATAGATCAGGTGGAAGAAAGCCCTCCATTCAGGTCTTTACCTTTCATCCCTTGTTCTTAGTGCCAGGAATTAATGCTGTTTGAAAGTACAAACTGATCCTGCCAAGCTCCGGCAGCTGAGATAATCCTCATTATTTTCCCTGTTAGTGAGAAGGGCGGCAGTTCCACTCTGGAAGAACGCTCCTTTGTGAAACATTAAATATCTACTAAGTGGTATTGATTGGATGTGATTTTATTTCCAAACACTTTGCTTATCGGGAAGCAGAGGAATTTGTTGTGGAAGACATTTTCACAGTTTTTCATCAGATTCCTTTAAACCTACAAACCAGCAAGAGGCCAGCGCTTTAGTGTACTCCTTGGCAGTGGTACCCAAGTACAGAGCCCATAGCCCCAGGGGACGACGATTGGATTTTATTTTCCTAGGGTTTCTTAGTGAGGCTTTGATAGTGTTTAACCTACAGAGGAAAAAAAAAACTGTTTTCCCCCTTCAAGCATGGATATTCTGTGTTTTCCTCACATCGCAGAGAGAATTCTTCATCTCAGCACATGATCTTCATTACAACAGATCATTCAAGTTAAAAGTCAGGGGTCTTTGCAATGTCAAAAGACACAGGGGAAAGATCGAATTGGGTTTGCTGTATTCTTTTTAGTTTTTTTTTCTTGTTTATTTTTTTGGTTTCTCAAAAAGACTACTTTGTTTAGATAGTGTCATTAAAACCATCTGAAGAGTTTTCTCCATGTTGGGAAGAGCGGTGGTGTGTAAGATGCATTTGTTTTTAGCCTTGGGGTCATAAGCTTAATTGGTGACTTGAGGGGAAGCAGGTCCTAGACCTGCTGGTTCACACAAGCCAGCCTGCTTGGCTTAGGACCCCGTACTGTGACAGGACAGATGAGAAGGGCAGGGGTTCTTTTCCCTTTGCAGTCTCTGCTCTAAATCATTTCTTCTGTTTCTGGGAGGAGCCGGTGCTAGTGCTCTCATGAAGGAGAACCTTTAATTGACTTTTGCTACTTATGCTTCCTGCCCCTTCCTGTGCAGTTGCCCACTCTGTCCAAACACAAGAGGGAAGCGATACCATCCTCAGAGATGAGGGTGTGAGTTGAGCATCTCTAGGTCGATTACTCTTTCTTTGGGGTTATTCCCTAGAGAAGAATTACCAGGTCAGAGGGGATGAACAGTTTTACGGCTCTGATCACATGTCACCAGCCTGCTGTTCAGAAAGATTGAACCAATTTCTCGGGATGGCAGGGCTGTCTGTTGGCTTCTCAGTGTAGAGGCTACCAGGTGTTAGCAGAATGCTTACAAATGACACAGGCAAGCCTTTTGAGGTGAAATTTTTGAGGTCCTCTACAGGGCCCACGAGAGTCAACTTGAAAAGAAAAAAAAAAAAAAGAGGACCTGTCCGGTTTTTTGAATGTCTAATTGGTACTAAGTCATTTAAAACCACAGTTACTACTCCTCTTGTCTTCAGAAAGGTTAAATTGTTTAAATGGATGGGGTACCCCAAAGGACAATAGTTAAGGATGGTAATACAATAGACTTGGAGCATTGCTCACCAAGCCTGTATAGGCACTTGGGACTTTCATAAGGTGCTATCCAAAATGAGTTGAACAGATTGTGACACTAACCTCAATAACTTTTTATTCGAAGACAGTACTAATCCTTGAACAGATGTAAAAAGTAACATGGCTTTAAATTTGGAATGGAGAAACACTTTTTAAAAAGATGCTTTTCCCAAACAGATTAAGTTCATTCATTTGCCTCCTCCCTGGATTGTGGTTCCATGAGTCTGGAGCCTTACACGTTTATGGTCCCAATTCCCTGGAAAATAAACGACAACCGGGAGCAAAAGAGGCTGACCAGGGTATCTCTTTCAGCTTCTCACTCTCCTTCAGCTTCTCACGGCCAAGGACAGTTCACTGGAAGGTGCTTGCTTTCTCCCATAAGCCCCTGCATCAGTCTGAAAAGGACAGATAGTTTGGTCCCTTAATCTCAGACTGAGGAGGTTGAGTAGCCAGGTGTGATAATCAAGGCTAAGCTGGTGCAGGGGAAAGAACATGCCAGAGACTGGGGTGGGGGGAGTACACCACCGGGAGATCAGATTAGATTAGCCACTGTCTTAGGGATGAAACATCTCAGTATTGTGGAGCACAGTCAGTAAACATTGACTTCCTTCCCCATGGCTTGGAGACAGAAAACTCCCTGGTTTGCTGGTGATGTGAGAATGTGCATGTAAACAAATAGAAAGTAGACTCCAGTCTGCTCTTGAGATCTGTGTGCTAAGACCGTCTCTGAGCAAATAGTCTACCATGCTTGGACAGCATCTCTGTTTGATGAGGGGCATATACATAGAATTTGCAGAGAAGTTGAAATTCATGGACCAATGCAAATTTAGTAAGAAGCCATTGTGTTCTGTAATAATGTTGTGAAGGCTTTTTGGGCCCCCATGGTGGTGGTGGTGGTAGAGTGTGTGTGTGTGTGTGTACATGTATGTATGTACATATGTTGTTTTTGCTGCATTTATACAGTTGTACACCTGCTCTTTGAACACCTATAAAATATCATTTAATGAAATTTTTCTAAGTTCACAAACTCACATCTTTTTATTTAAGGAAAATGAACCAAGTGCCTTTAGCACAAAACTGAGTTGTCAGGAAATGGTCTAAATTGCTCTTCAGATTGATACACTGACTTTTCAGATGGTCTCTCCCCTTGTTGGATGCTGGAGTGCCTGTCACTGTCAGGCTGGAGCTTTGGGGAGTGATGGCAGCAGGGTTAAGGGTCCACTTCTTGATCTCAGTTGTTATTTCTGTGTAGCTCCACTAGTGGCACCAAACAGTCCCAAACCCATAACAAGCGTAAATAGTGCTCTCTTGTAAAAAGGTCTCCTTTCAGCATGGTAATATACCTTATTAAATTCCAAACATAATAAGTATTGATGGCAAACACATCAGAACCCGGCTCAGCTTCCACTATGATTTAGTTCTCTACAAATGACTTCAGCACTCCGTTCCCAGTGCATTTTGCTAATTACATCATAGATTTCCCTATTGATGAACACGAGCTGAATTAACACAGGAGCACTAATGTACCCTTTCACCATTATTGTCGTACAAGAAGCCGTGGCAGATGCTGGCAGTTAGTTACACAAACATTAGTATTAACGATTGGCCATTTGGAATTGGTGACAAACTACTGCCCGGCAGAATCCTGAGGCCGAAACCAATCAGGAAGTTAATGAGGAGAGAAATTACCGAGGCAGCTTCCCCTTAATTACATTCACACTAGGCTGGAAGGGAGTTCTGGGGGTGGATCTAGACTCCGCTAAGGTTAAGAGGGTCAGAGACCCTTTTGCTTAAATTTTGTATCTACTGTGGCTTCTGAGGTTGCAAAAAAAATGTTGAGCACGTATTATTTTTGTATCCTTCATATTTAATGTCGGTGTACTAGTGGAATTTTCATGTTCATAGACTAAAATCTCACGTTTTAGTGTGATACATAATTCAGCTTATCTTTTTCTATTTTCAAAAACCCCCTCTGCTTACTGTCTTTTACTTCTTTAGAGTTATTGGTGCCGAACCACTCCTCCCCCAGTGTCTGTTGCCCAGTGGTAGCAGAGAGAAATGATAAGAAAGTTGATCGGATCCCCTACTGGATCTTGGGTTTTCTGGGGAGGAAGAGTAGGGGGTGGAGTACTACTTAGGGATCACCCCTCAGGTGAATCCTTTGAGGAGAGGAGTCCCATTAGCATTCTCTACATAAAGGGGAGGAGGGGTGGAAAGTCTTCCAAAGTGGGTGGAGTGGAGTTTTGGTGTTGCTTCTCAGTGATCCATAAATCTGAGCTTGTGTGATCTCACTTTT